TAAGGCCAGGAGCCCCTAGTAGCGTTCTTGCTGCTAGTAGTAAGGCCAGGAGCCCCTAGTAGCCTTCTTGCTCCTACTAGCGTTCTTGTTCCTGGTAGTGTCTCTAACCACTTTTTTCTGCTCGGTTGTTTTTACTGTTTGTCCTTCATTAACCCATTACGCCCCCGAACGGCCAATGCAAACAACATCGACTGTGTTACTATTTCATGGTACTGTGGACAGGTTCCAATTCCAACAACAGTTCCCCAGAATCACTCAACTCTGCTTCGAGAGGCAAATAAAGGCAGCATCTCGTGTCTGGCAATGATCAAAGGATCGAGGATCTCACAAAGGTACCTGTTTCCAAACAGCAAAGGGCAGAGCGCTTCGGCATCCTTCACATCCCAATGGCAAAGTCGACTGTAATTATGCGGTTTTCGCGAGGCACTGGAGGGAGACTGCGATGGCCGAGACAAAGCCCTCGATGACAACGTTGTTGACAAAGTCCACATAGGCCTGGAAGTTGCCACTTGGTCAAGACTTTGTTGACAAGTCGATGACGTGCAAGTCACAAAAAACATTTCAGTCTGTTCACAGACTTCTGCTCACAGAGAACCCTCGCAATAATTAGGAAAGCCGAAGGGTAATTCTGCCGATCAAAGAGAGGAACTCTTGAACCATCGTCATTGAACAGCCTGGATTAGCAATTCAGGGCTCATGTCAAAATCAAAAACGTTTCATGAGGCAAGGACGCCTCCAAAGACCAAACATGACAAAAGCTGAGTTTGGCCTTCCAAGTTGGCGCCGTCTTTGAGATCTTCAGAGACTCACTGGAGTCTTTGACGAAACCTCAAACAAGATAAACAAGTCAACTCTCTGCAGACTCTCAAGGACGCTACTAGGGGCTCCTAGCATCGCTACTAGGAGCGATCGGACGCTACTAGGAGCTTCTGGCCTTACTATTAGGAGCGATCGGACGCTACTTTGCCCAAAACCTTTTGCAGACTTGCAGCGATGAATCTCCTTTCCTCCATCCTGAAGCGAACGACAAGCGAACGACAAGCGCTCCAGTCGCGGTGTTGGGCTCCGCACCGTCATGTTCATGAGGCAAACCCCAACGCGAGCTTTGTGGTTCTGCTCAAACTCCTCCACCGACACAGGCTTCGCTCCACGCTTCCGTTCCAGCCTCGAACGCTGGCGGTGTTAACAGAACCACTAGCGATGGCCTCCTTTTTACGAAACGCATTGTAGCCTTAGTGGCCCTAGCGACCCTAGCGGCCCAAAAGCAACAGTCACTTCGACTGGATGCCAAATGGAGCCAAGGTACATTGAGTCCTTGCACCACTGCGAGAGGATGTTGCTGATCTTTCGCAAGTTGCCCTTGACACTATCTTATCGAAGAAAAAAAATCTTGGTTCCGAAAATTAAACAAACCGCCACCAAACACTAAACGATGTTCAAAACGATGTGTTTCGGCCTTCATGATGTCCACAATGGCTGACACATCGCTGACGACCTTCATCGCTTCTGCGATAAAGTCCGGGATCTGATCCTCTCGAGACCATTTCAGCTCTGTGAGCCCAGGGGCCTCAGGACGACGGCGACCAGTAGACGCCTATGAAAAACTAAGCTTAGTTAACCAGGCTACTTAGAGCTGTTCCTAGATCTTTAGGGAAACGACGGAATACTGAGGGTCACACCAGCGCATTATCCATTTTCAGGATCCGGTCTTCAAGCAGCGGCTCCTAACAGAAAATGCCGTCTCGTACAAGTGGTACAAATGCCGTCACAAACATTCCTCTTGTACGTATAAATGTTTGCGACAAAGAAAAGACCGCAAAGGACATTCGACCACATGTCACAAGACGGAAATGACCGCGTTTGGAAAGGACAGCCTCCACTGGCAGTAGATCTGTGAGAACTGAGTTGTACAGCCCAACAATGTGATCCAACCTGAAGGCCGAAGGCCGGCGGACACACCGGGCACAACGACCAGGCTTGCTCAAACAAGACAAGACTCTCGGGGAGGAAACCAAGTGGAAACCAGGGCATCGCTACTAGGAGCAAGAACGCTACTAGGGGCTCCTGGCCGTACTACTAGGAGCAAGGACGCTACTAGGAACAAGTGCATCGCTTCTAGTAACAAGTGCCTTACTACTAGTAACAAGAAGCTACTAGGAACAAGGGCATCGCTACTAGGAGCAAGGACGCTGCATTTCAACAGGACAGGCAAGAGCAGAATCGATATCTTCTCCCCGACCAATCAGAGCCGAATGGCTGGCCGCTGAATCTAAACCCATGGCTACAAATGTCTAGGAGCCTTTTTTTGGGGGGGCTTCAGCTAAACACTTGCTTGATTCTTTCTCTGCTTGTGTCAAAGTCGTTTTCAGGCTCAAACTGGCTGGTCCAGGTGCGGTATGTGTCCACCATGTTGTAGATCGTCAAAGCTTCAGGTGGCACCTGAGATTTGAGCTTCGGCTTCAGCTGGAACAGATTTGGGCAATTCCACATCAATTCCACCTCCATGCCGTAGATGAGGAAGAAGCGCACCTAGAAAGTCCAAGCCAGCAAAGTCCAAGTCGATCCAAGTCCTCCAAGTCACCTCTCGCAACAACCGCACGAGAGCTGGATCGAAGTTCACCTTCAGAAGCCCAGTCCTCAGAATCAAAAGAGCCCCTATTCCATCTTGGTGCAGTGCTGCTACTTCAGCCCGCAGCAAAAATATGTTGAAAGAAACTTTCTTTTTCGCGCGCGCGGGGGGGGGGTAGGCTGTAGAGGTAGGTAGCCAGTAGGGAGAGGTAGCTAGTACCTTAATTAAGCTGCTAGTATGCACGCAGGATAGCTCACGCTTCTTCAAGGAAGCTCCCCCGCCAAGCTTCCTTGAAGAAGCGCTCGCACTAATGAGTTGGCTTCCAGATTTTTAGGGAAACTTAACATTATTAGATTTCTTGTCCTGTGAGACGAATGGGACTGCAGAAAGCAAGAACTGGACAAACCAAAATGCCTACCAAGTCACGAATACGAAGGAATTACATTTATCCCTTACACCCAGATCCATTAGGGTGGAGGCCATTTCTCTTGGGTTGGAGGCCATGGCTTCCAGGGTGGAGGTGTCACAAGGAGGTTGATCGGGAGGTTCGCAAGGCGACCACAAGCCCACAGGACATGGACATGGGCAAGCAGCTGGTGCAGGAGAATGGAAAGCAGCCGTTCCCGGTGTGGGAACTAAATGTAGGGGACAGCTATGTAGCTGTGCAGGCCAGAGTTCATGAAAAGCACCTGGTTCCTCTATCAAAAACCAAGAAAAGACAAGAAAAGAGAACCTGAACATTCTCAGAGAGTGGTGCGATGCCTGGACCTCCAGTCCCTCCTTTTTTCTGTTCGCTCTTTGGATGTCCATTTCCTCAGCCTGTCCTCCTTGGGTTCTTTTCCGCTTGGGTTCTTGTGGTACACTGAAATCGAAACGGCCACGTCGAATCCTGCTACCTAGCTGAGGCGTTGGTGGCTGAAGGTCGTTCCAATCCCAGGCCTTTGTAGGTCGCAAATCTCGTTGATAGCAATGGCCTCCAACCTAGAAGCGATGGCCTCCAACCTAGTCCTCCAACCTAATTGTAATGGCCTCCAATCTACTAGCGATGTTTTGCAGTATTTTGTTCCAGCCATGAATGGCCGAGGGCAACCGAGGACTCTTGCAAAATGCCCTTTGTCGACGTTGCCTTCAAGAGTCCAAGCACACGATTTTCAGAGTAGATTTCTGTCGATCCGATCTGAGTGGAGGTGAATGATGTGTTTTGTACTTCATGCTTGAAATATGTTTTTTGTACTTCATGTGTTCTTGCTTTAGCCTGTTTCTCCTTGAGCTGCTGAGTGTGGTGATTGTCAAAAAGCCTTGACGTTTACCTTGTGATGCCCGTAAGGATCATTATTCGAAACATGACTTAAAGCGCTGGTGTCCAATGATTTTTGGGCCACATCAAGGGGAACTTTAAGAAGCCTGTTCTGGAACTTGGATGATGAATGTGAATAGCCAAGATTCTAACACTAAATAAAGACTTTAAGAATGACAGAATCAAAACAGTGACTATATCAAGATGCCTTTTTGCCTATATTATTCATTATTCAAATTCGTATCTAAAGCTATGGAAGCCTGCAAGATAATTTAAACCTGCAGGGGTTCTGATCAACTTGTCTCAAGCCTTGAACATGTGAATTGAGCCAATGATCTTTTGTTGCATTGTTTTAAGTCGCTCTGGCTTTCTGTTGCTCCTGCACATAGTTTTACGGACGATGCACGGATTTAGAGGTTGTGGTCGCTTTCACATTGGCATGTGTCATGTTGGTGCTGAAACTGGTACTGTGAAGCAGGTTTGTTGGGTGGGACAAGTTCCTCCTTCTTCGTGGGTAAAAAAATGGTGATAGATGAGACGTTGTAAGTGTATGAACCTGTCAAAAGCAATCACAGCGTTCAATAAAGCTATCAGAAAGGGGTTCCTAAGACTCAAGTGCAGCAAGGTTGAGGCCAGCACAATATTCGATGAGGTACCTTTACCTTGATTTACCCCTTCTGATGTACCTTTGTTCCTTTGTGATGTGGAAAGCCATGGGTCTTCGGGCGCTCCAAGGTTTTCAGACTGCAGGGGGTTAGGGTTGCGCTCAGTGGTGTTCATGGAGCCATAAGACTGATGCACCCATGCTCCTCATGAAAAACTTCTGAGCAAGGTTCTTCTTTTAAGCCCACTCCTACTTCATTAAGTGAGGGAGTACTTCGCTACTAGCGATAGGAAGCTAGCTAGGACGAAGGATAGCTCACGCTTCTCCAAGGAAGCTCCCCCCACCTGAGGGGGCGGGGAAGCTTCCTTGAAGAAGCGCTCGCACTAATGATTTGGTTCCTAGATTGTGGGGGCAAATGAAATGCCTAGCACTTCTCAGCAACTTCTGGTCATTCCATGTCCTCTCTAGACTCTAGAATGGTTATGGTTGTGTTTCTAATTGCTTCTTGTTACTACTAGTAAGGCACTTGTTACTAGTAGCGATGCACTTGTTCCTAGTAGCGAACATTGTTTCATGCAAGGGCAGAAAGCTGTCAATTTCTGGTGGAACTTCCAACTCACAGTCCTGTCGTGGCGACGAAGCAGCCGCATGTGCAACCGCTTTGCAGCCTCTTCAACTGCCTCAAAAAGCAGAGCATTGGGATAAACCAGAAGCTATTAGGAACAAGTGCATCGCTACTAGTAACAAGTGCCTTACTAGTAGTAACAAGAAGCTATAGATTTGTGCGGAAACTCAACTTTTTTTGTACAACAATGACAAATAAACTGCCAATGGAATGACGAAAAAAGACTAGGTGACCTCTGCAAAAGAAGTGAAGAAAGAAGTGATGTTTATTTGAGGTCCCTTCTGCTTCAAAACATATGAAAAGCAAAGGTCCCACTTTCGCCTCTTGCTTCCATTCCGAGTATCGGCGCTTCTCATATTCATCCAAGGTCTCAGCATGGGCCGGAAATATCTCAGAATGAATATACAAATGATTCTGGGGATACAATTAGGAAGGTAGGATTCCCTTTAAAGATCCTTTACCTTCCTCTGTTCTCTTTTCCATTCATTTCCCTTCTATATATAGACGCATGGCTTTCTGGTGGCGAGGACTGGCCCAATGCATACCGTAATTCCCCCATCAGTCGTGACGAGAGCCGTGGCTGCATTGTGTGCTTTTGGCATTTCGAGCTATATACATATAGGTTCTTGAGTATTAATGTTTCTTGCACATCTCACGTCATCTCCGAGTCTCTTGGAGGTGAAAACTAAAAGCGGCCTCCAACCGACTAGCTTCTTGCTCCTAGTAAGGCCAGGAGCCCCTAGTAGCGAACATTGCTCCTAGTAGCGATGCCCTTTGCTCCTAGTAGCGTCCTTGCTCCTAGTAGCGATGGCCTCCAACCTAAAGGAAAATTGTCTCGTCGTCATCTGCCTGTAGGGTTTGATCGTGGATGCGGAGCAGCTCCTTGAAGCTCTCAGGGACCTGAAGAAAGAATCGACGATGGGATGAAAAACGCTACCACGACACGACGCAAAGTAATGCCCTTTGCTCCGAGTAGCGTTCTTGTCGTTCTTGTTCCTAGTAGCGATGCCCTTTGCTACTAGTAGCGTCCGATCGCATACTTTGATGAGTTATTTGCATAAAGAATTCCAGAGCTCTGGAGATCCACATCCCTTTCACTGCAACCCTCACCTCACGCATGAGCTCGTTGTACGCCAAAATCTTGGGCATAGGCTCCTCACGGCGCGTGAGGCCCTTCCTTGCTCCCTCTAAGCTTGCAAGGCAACGATCTTCAATGCCTCCTGTTTCTCAATGAGAACGTTTTGGTTTCAATGCTTCCTTGAAACTCCCGAGAACCAGTGTGGAAAGAATTGCGAGGCCAAACTCCTGGCATTGCCTTAAGACTACCAAATGCCTTGACTGAACCGCATGGAAGCAAATCTGTTTCACGTATCTCTCGTGGAAACTTGACCTGTGAAATCATAAAACTGCAGTTTCCCAAAAATCTAGGAACCAAATCGTTCAGGCCCGGGCTTCTGGGTCCTATTAGCTTGCTTGCTACTACTTTAGATACTTCCAAACCCACTCTATGGGAAAAACTGCAGTGGAGGCCATCGGTCTTAGGTTGGAGGCCATCGCTATTAGTTCCCTTTTGCTATTAGGCCACTGAAAAAAACAAAAACAAAAAAAAAAACTGCAGTTTCTCCTGAAGACGTGTCCGGAGGCTGCGAGCCCAGAAGATGGCACCAGCCACCGGAGGCAGGTTGGCAAAGATTGGTGCATCTGAAACACGAATCGTCCGAAACACCAGGCTACTGGGAGCAAGGACGCTACTAGGAGCAAAGGGCATTGCTACTAGGAGCAAGAACGCTACTAGGGCTCCTGGCCTTACTACTAGGAGCAAGGACGCTACTAGTAACAAGGGCCTTATAAAAGGGCCTTAGGGTGCAGGTTGTGGCGGTGGAGGCTGCGGGTGTGATTAGGATTGAAAAAGTCGTTGAAGACCAAGCAAAGACCTTAATTTATGTGTTGTCCTTTTTCCAACTGATGGGTACAGGACGCTCTGAAAATGGAATAAATGTCAGCCAGCTCATCCTGCAAAAAGGATCCAGTGAAGAGTCAAGAGATCTTAAAACCCCTCAACCCTGTTGCGAAAAGGAGGGGCGCGTCAAAGAATAGAAGACCGAAAGTGATGGAAACTGTGGCGACTGAGAAACTGGGGAGAGCCAGGTTGCGTTTTGAAACGATTTAGCCAAGAACAAGGATGGACCTGGCTCCCTGCCCTCAACGCGGCAGCGAAAAGAACGGATGAGCATGCGCTTTGCTCAAGCACTTGGATAGATAGGACGGCGCTGCAGGGCCACGCCAGGCTTGCGAAGCTCAAAGAGAAGATAATGAACAAAAATGAGCAAAGCAAGCAGATGCAAAGCAGATGCAAGCTTGGCGTATAGCAGTTGTTTTTCTCTAGTCTAGGACGCTACTAGGAACAAAGGGCATCGCTACTAGGAGCAAGGACGCTACTAGGGGCTCCTGGCCGTACTACTAGGAGCAAGGACGCTACTAGGAGCAACGGGCATCGCTTTTGCGCTTCCACTGACCACGGAAACACGGCAACTCCAAAAGAACTCATCGACCAAACTTGGAAAGTTTCACACTTGCCAAGACAATCAGGACATCGTGTTCCACCTTTTCAATTTGGAAATTGTCCCACCTGCGTCGCAATGGTCGACCTTTTCTTCGTTGGCCGTGAAATTGGCCTTATCTTGTGCCGAATAGTAGCTTCTTTCACCTAGTAGCGATGCCCTTCGTTCCTGGTAGCTTCTTGTTACTAGTATGGCCAGGAGCTACTAGTAGCGTCCTCTTGCTCCTAAATGAGTCTGCGTGAAAGGGCTTAGTCGGTCTTGGTTAGCCGCGTGAATCTGGTCCACATCAAGCCTGTACTGGTCAATGAGCACCTGAAGTCGAGTTTCCCGAGTGTCCCTTCACAACGGGAAATCACTGGTCAATGAGCACCTTCTGTTTGCGGACCAGCTCAGCCTGTATCACTGGCCGCTCAAGCAGCCCCTGCATGACAGGATTGTAAACGTCACAGACACGGAAACCAAAAATTGATTCGAAAACATGGAACGTTGCTTTCTTTCACCCATCTGGTTCAGCGTGCAGTTCGGAAAGCAAAATGTTGGATACGGAAACTGGGAACATGATCTTCAAACGATCGGCAAGACCTCAGTGTTTTTGGGGGACTGCACTGTATCATTCACCAATATGTCATCGTCGCAGTGAAACACCTGGGCATCGCTACTAGGAGCAAGAACGCTACTATGGGTGCAGCCGCACCTTTTAAACTTCACCTCGGCAATTGGAGACTTGATCTTCACTTGTTCTTGCAGGCTGCTTATTGTTTCGTTGTCGTTTTAGTTCTCGTTCAAAATGAAACATGTTGGAAGCATCCTGTGAACCAAAGGTCGGTATTGCGTTCATTCCATCAGTGCTCTAAGACTGTTCCGTGGTTAAAGTCGATAGCCTTTTGCTCTTGCCGTGAAAGTTGCTCACATGAATGTCACGTCAATACCGTCCGTAGCGTCCTTGCTCCTAGTAGCGATGCCAGGAGCCCCTAGTAGCGTCCTTTCATTTCTTCTTTCTGTACTCTTTCATTTAGACCTTTCCTTCATGGCCTTCTGCTTTAGACCTTTATACTTCGTCTTTAGACCGTGTCTGATTTTTCTTTAGACATGTTCTTCAGTGTTTATCTTTTCTTCTTCAGACCAGTTCTTCTTTGTGTATTTTTATTCAGACTGTTTCTTACCTCTATATTTTCTGTTTAGATCCTTTGTTGCGCATAGTCTTGTTCAAGACCTGCTCTTTTGAGCTGGTTTGTCTTTTGACTGTTTTCTTTTCTCTTGTTCTTTCCACCGTTTCGTCAGTGTTTTCTTTAGACCTTTTCGTCTGGTTGCATTCTTTTCTTTAGACCGTTGTATTTGTTCTTCATGCCGGTTCTTATTGTTTGTCTGTTCATCTTTTCTTCCATCTGTTGTTTCTTTAGACCTTTTCTTCTGCGTGTTCCTTTTTCTTTGGTGATTTTCTTCTGTATTGTTTTCTTTGGTAGGCTTTAGACCTATTCGTTTTTTTGTCTTTAGACTTTGTTAATATGTGTGTTTTCTTTAGACATCTTCTTCTGCGTTTCCTTTTTGGACAATGTTGTCTCTTAAGACCATTTCTTTGCTTCTTGGTTTAGACCTTGTCTTCTTGTGTTCAGACCTGTTCTTTTCCGTTCTTTTCTTTGGACCTTTTCGTTTTTTCTTTTTCTTCCTTGAGACCTGTTCTTCGGTGTTTTAGACTCGTTCTTTGGGACCTGTTTTAGACCCGTGTGTTTCGTTCTTTGTCTCAAACACCGTCTTCCTCTTTTTCTGGCTTTTCTGATGGTGTGATGATGTGATGAAGGAGTCGTTTCGCGCTTTCACCTTCGCCTTGGTGTGGGAGTCCATGTTCCCACAACGTGGGGAGGGAACCAGAACGGACCAGGCTGGAAGGCTGGAGTTGGGGGGAGGTCTAGGTATGTCTAGGTATGTCTAGGTCTCAAGCAGAATGTTGATGTTGGGGGTCCTATCGGATGACAAAGCCAAAGGCAATTCCGCATTTTATCGTCATTCGTGACGAAACATGCCAGACACACACCGGTCAAGAGCCGAATGCCCAAGGCCGGAGAAAGGCCGCTGTGAAAGAGGAACCGACGCACAAGGAGGAGGAGTCTTGTCAACGAAAAATGCAAAGAAAAGAAACGGAGACGAAAGTCACACAAAGCATTCTTTCGGAAAAAGCAACTAGGGGCTCCTGGCCTTAGTTGGAGCAAGGACGCTACTAGGAGCTCCTGACTACTAGGAGCTAGGAGCAAGGAAGCTACGGGCTCGTGGCCCAGCACCTTAATAGAAACAATCAGCTACTAGCAACAAGCGCATCGCTACTAGTAACAAGTGCCTTACTAGTAGTAACAAGAAGCTATTAGAAACAAGAATGGAATGAAGAAGACAAGCTCGAAACGACGCCTCGAAGGCATCGAGGAGCTTGCTGCGACCGTGCAAGGTGTTTTGGTCGTGGAAGGCCGCAGCCAAAACGGAGCCCAAGCGCCGATCCAGGTCACCTTGCGATTTGGAGGTACGGCCGTAGGCGGCCCGGCCGTAAGCTAAGTCAAAGAATTAAGGTAAGTCTAACATGATTTGGTTTCAAGAATTCCTAGTAGCTTCTTGTTACTACTAGTAAGGCACTTGTTACTAGTAGCGATGCACTTGTTCCTAGTAGCTTCTTGTTACTGATTTGGTTTCAAGAATGCTTCACTTTGCAAGCGCATGTGGTGCATTCCTCACATGTCAGAGAAGCGGATTGAAAGGGGGAAAAGAAAGCGTGCAAAATTGTGGGCAAAGAACGATTGCAAACCACCATGAAACAAAAAAGTAACAAGCATAGAAAGAATTACAGGCCTTCATGTCAAGGTCTGAAGATGCTTGGTGTGTTTCTCTTGTCCCCACTTTTTCAGTTCAAACATGACATATTCTTCTTTGTTACTACTAGTAAGGCACCTGTTACTACTAGCGATATTCTCTGAAGAGCACCAACCGACTTACATTGTTGGAAACCTGAGTCGAACACATGCCAATCATTGCCAAGCCACGGATCGTAAGCCGAAAATCATGAAAGTCTTCAATAAATGCTGCTTCTTTGACCTCAGAAATATCTCAAACTTCTTGACCTTCAGTAATTTGTTCAATCGCTGGAGGCACAACAACTGTGCGCACTTTTTGTTGATTTGTTTTACGCCTTCGTCCTTGAGAGGCAAGAGCAAAAAGCGAAGCGTCAGGAGCCCCGTTCGTAGCTTCCTTGTTACTACTAGTAAGGCACTTGTTACTAGAAGCGATGCACTTGTTCCTAGTAGCGTTCTTGCTCCTAGTAGCGAGGCCCTTTGCTCCTAGTAGCTTCCTTGTTCCGTTCGTAGCGTTCTTGCCGTTCCTTGGGGTCTCGGCGTCAAAAATGTCGTAAGGAACCCGCCCTTGGGCCGATCGACGGGATCAGCCGTAAGCGGAGCTATAAGCAATGACATCAATCTGACCTCTTCGTGTCCGATGTCAAATCAGTTCTTTTTGTTCACATCTATGGATCTTGTACATGCAGGATGCAACGCAGCTGTCTGAGTCTCAGACGAAACTTGTCAACGGCCTTGCATTTTCACGTGTCAAAAACACAGTTGAACAGGGCCAGGGCGGCCAGGGCCTTCTCGAATTCTTCATGCACCTGGACAAAAACCACCCAGAATTGCAACTCGCGCCAGGAGCCCCTAGTAGCGTCTTTGCTCCTAGTAGCGATGCCCTTTGCTGCTAGTAGCGTCTTTGCTCCTAAAATACACAAAATACACAGCATGCATCAAATGTTGTTCCCAAAATCACCACCTTCTCGACCGACATCGAGAGCACTTTTCCTTTGGTGCCTTCCATCATGACTCTTGCGAGATCACAGGGGCGGAGAGATCGTTATGGAAAAAAACATGACCCGAAGCCGTGAAACCTCATTTCAACCAGGTTTCTTCGCTAAATCCGTCTACTGCTTCTACTTCTAAAATGCATGAGCTGCACGGGAAGTAGGGTAAGGTGTTCCAGACTGCCAGGGCCTCGAAGGTACAAAATGTTCCAAACACCCACCCACCCTCTCCGAGCCCTCTCCGAGCCCTCTCCGAGCCCTCTCCCCCCGATAGGTTGCTCACATAGAAAGTTCCGTAACCTATCTGAAAGCTGCAGCTGCATTCAATGCACAATCTGACGTCCCTAGCTTCACCTTTTATTCACCTCGAAACTAAGGGAAAGAGCAGCTTGGCAAAATGGAGTGGGCGAGAGGAAAGTAGAAAAATACAACAAAACGTGACCATAAACTATAGAGTTGTAGCACCCAAGGCCTTCTAAGTTTGTCTTTGTGGCAAGTTTTGGGCTCGCAGGAATGTAGCAGGCCGCTGGAGCAAAAGAGCATCCAAAGATGAGATCCTAGTGGCATGTCGTACGTGATGCTCAAATGGCTGGACCTTGCTGATGCAAATGATGCTGCTACACTGCTACAATTACTACATTTTCTGCATCAGCAACTCGCTAAAACAACTCCTTCGCTGACACTCAAAACAGAATCTGCGCCCCCCTAAATCTCACTTCGTTCGGAAGTGGACAACGTTCGCTCAGG